ATAATTGTCATCGCAATTTTCCTGTTTTGAATGGTTTGAAAAAGCATTTAATTAAAAATCATTCAAAGTCTGAAACGTTTCAACAACTAAATGCAGATCAAATTGAGGAATCTGACTCTGTCTATTCTGTAGAGGATCAGAATATAATTCAAAATTCGTTTACTGACAAATCTTACGTTTCTGAACATTTTGATAGTGAACCGTCCGATTTTTTTCAAACCGTTCAGAATGCTATTCTTCGTTTGATTTCAAAAATGTATAGTAATTCTTCTTTACCTCGAAACATTGTCCAAATAGTAATAGAAGATATAAAGGAATTATTTAATTTTATAATTGCTTGTATAGAACCTGTATTAAACAAAGAAGACGTAGGAATAAATCAATGTAACAAAATTTACGCCCTTTTTAAAAAAATAAATAATATTTTTGATACGTTAGACACTGAACATAAAAGATTTAAATTTCTGGAAGACAATAAGTATTACATTAAACCACAAGCTTTTTTTTTAGGAAAAAGATCAATTAACAAAATGAATAAAAGTTCTGGTTATTCAAATATGATTATTCAAAAGTCTGAAGGACAAATAATAGAATTGCGTAAAACCTTAAAAGCGTTTCTAGAATTACCAAACGTATTTAATGATATCGTTTCATACATGAAAAACGAAGAATCTCTATGTGATGAGAATGTACGTACTAGTATTTTACAAGGAAACTTGTGGAAAGAATTAAAACTTGAATTTCCAAATAAAATAATAATTCCTTTATATCTTTTTTGTGACGATTTTGAACCTAATAATCCTTTAGGTTCAAAATCTGGTATATATAAAGTAAATGCAGTTTATGTTTCCATTGCTTCTGTACCTATTCAGTATACATCTTTATTAGAAAATATCTTTTTAACTCAGGTTTGTTTTACAGCAGATCGAACTGAATATATATGGCAATAAACATATATTTTATAAAATCATTCAAGAATTGAAATACTTAGAAACTGAAGGTATTACAGTACAAATTTCATCCGAGAAAAATGTCCAAGTATATTTTACATTACTATTAATTTTGGGAGATAATTTAGGCTTAAATTCTATTTTAGGTTTCAATGAAAGTTTTCAATCAAATTATTTCTGTCAATTTTGTAAGACTCATAAAGACGAAACAAAATATCGAATAAAAGAAAATGAAGAAAGTTTACGTAACATTACAAATTACAATAACGATTGTTTAACTTTTTCGTATGGTATTAAAGAAGTATGTATTTGGCATGAATTACCAAATTTTCACGTTACAAACAACTTATCTTGTGATTTAATGCATGATGTTCTGGAGGGAGTTTTAAGATATGACATGGCTCAAATAATTAGTTGTCTTATTACAAAAAAGTACTTTTCTCTTGAACAATTAAATGAAAGAATAAAATATTTCAAATTTGGTAACTCAGATACGGGTAACCCAATCCCTTTAATTATTTCTGAACATTTGAAAAAAAAATATATAATAATGAGTGCATCTGAAATGCTAGCATTGACTACTTATCTTTCTATTTTAATTGGTGATCTAATTCCATCAGATGAACCTGTGTGGGATTTTTATATAATTTTATACAAGATGTTAGATGTACTTTTATCGAGGACAGTTTCTAATTCTTCCATATCCTATTTGCAAACTTTAATTGAAGAACATCACCAAATATACTGCGATTTATTTAAAGAAACGTTGAAACCAAAATTTCATTTACTTGTTCATTATCCTCGAATTATGACAAAAGTAGGCCCTGTTCGACATATTTGGGTTATGAGATATGAAGGATTCCATAAACAATTGAAAAGTACTGCTTCAATTGTTACTTCTCGTGTTAACTTACTCCGAACATTGTGTATTAAACAACAACTTACATTTTCTTATAGAATTTTAAGCAAAAAAGGTTTCTCTAATATCATAATAACTGGACAATTTCTTGGTAATTTGTACGATATGAAAGATACAAAATTAATTTCACTAATAAAAATGTATACAGATATCTTCTCTGAAAAAGCAAGTGTTTTTGCCTTAATCCGAATTGATAACATCAAATATAAGTTAGGAAGCGTTTTACAGATTAAAATGATACTATTTTTTATTACTTTTTGGATTTTGGTGTTCTCCAATATATTGTTTTGGACAACAAATTCCCTACTTTTATTTTATCATTACTTACAACTATTTCATTTCAAAATCATTTGCAGGCTTATGAAATTGATATAAACCAAGATGCTCAGTGGATTTTGCAAAAATGGGAACAGTTACCAAATAAATTCCCTTATAATATTCATGTAATAGGGAATGGAAATAATTATATTGTTCCTTTACAATAACAAATATTTATTGCTATTTAGTTTTTATTTACTATAGGTATATATTTATTTGTGATCTTACAAAACATTGCAAAACGTTTAGACTATATTTTTGATTTACCATGTATTATCATTCATTTATTTATAATTTGAAAGATTTACGAAAATATTGCCGATTGACATTTTGCAAATTATTTAAAGTGTATTTTGTTTACCACGTATTGTCATTTATCTACTTATAAATTGTAAGATCTCGAAGGACATTTATTAATATTATTGCAAACTGTAAAAGTCTAAAAATGTTATGATTTATTTTAATTTCTTAAATTCTTATGTTATAATGGGAGAAAAATTAGCTATTTTTCTATTACAATTAATTGTTTGCAATTGCGATTGTTATTTGTATATCAATATATAATATGTATGTTTAATTGAAGATATTTTAAATATGTTGCACGTACAAATAAAATATTTGTAAAACTTTTAATATAATTATACAATAAAATATATTTTAGATGTCCGCTTGTTCCTTTTTTGTATTGTTTATATACATTTACTTCTTTTTTTTTAAAACTTTACTAACATAATATATTTATTTTCCAATTTACCGTATACAGGGTGTCCAGCCCCATTCTTCCAATCTCCCACAGGAAGGTAGATGGGATCGAAATAAACATAAAAGTCCTTTACCGTTTAGCGATATCTGTAATAATAATCGAGATATTAAAGTTTGAAATTGTACTAATGAGAGGGCGCCTATAGAAAGAATAGAAACGGCTCTGGTCGCTCGAGGTATAACCCGGCCCAGTTTGACAAACGATGGATGCGGCGG